TGTAAGTGCAAACGTTTACAGCTACGCAACTATTCCTATATGCATGAGGCTGATTAAGTAGTTCCTTACATATTACGTACAGTGCTCAAAAATCTTCACATAAACAAAAGCTGGATTAAATTTCCCCCCATCTTGTCTTTATAATCTGTTTATTTAGGCCTAATTTCTACTGATAAATGTTTGTAAAAATCTCATCTATCGGTTAGTGAAACTGCATGTTTTTCCTTAATCGCAAACTATATTTCTAATGGGTTTATATACTAAGAGATTTTGTATGAATAAAGTATCTTTGATTTCAATTTCAGATTTTCCCGTGGATTGATTGCACAGAAATGGTCAGTCTCAGGTAGACTATTCGGTTGCTTGTGTAGATGCTTCAACGATTTCTGGTCATTTAACTTGAAGTCAGTTTGGTGGATGGCGACTAGCAGTGGAATCCAGGAAGACGCACATTTCGTCCTATTTGGGACTCGTCAGTTGAAACCGAGCACTTCGGTAAAGTCAATCGACATGAAAATCTAAAGTGAATTAAATGATTAATAAGACCCTTTGCTTTCGTGCCCCAAGTGGTCTAGTGGATAACGCTTTGGCGTTTGGAACTATGGGTACTGGGTTCGAGCCTCAGTGGGAACTCCATCACTCATTGACTGGCTTGCTGACGCGTCTCAAACAGGACGAAACGCGCATCCTGGATTCGTCCACCATCAAATTGCTTTTTTGGATAAAACTTCAAAATTTTTTCTGCTTTATCATATTTTCTACAACGGAATTTATTTGTAATAAACAGGTGCGTTTATGATAACTGGTCAAAGAAAAAAAATGTATTTAAGTTTCAGGAAACTTCTTTTACTACTGTCGCCAATACAACTAGTTGTTCTGTCTCTGCATATGATGTTTTCATGGTCTAATTAACATGGAGTTTATATTTCTAGTCTAGTATATACATATATATGTGTTCTAATGGATTTGAAACTATCATAAAAAACGCTGACACAAAAAAAATAAAATAAAACTAACACTTCGATTCTTTTTATAATTACTGTAACATGCATAGACGTGTTTTTTGAAACTCTTATGTTCGTTTTAATTTATTTCATTGTTAATGTCTCACGTTAACAGAATGTATGCTTTGCATTTTAACACTTCTTAATCTACTGCCGGTAAATTCTCAAAGAATTTTATCTACATACTCTTCACTATTTCAGTAGTATAGAGTATTTTGGAAAACTTTCCCCTAATTGGTTGGCACTTATTGATCTGTGTGTGATAGAGAAACAGAAAATGGCGTCACTCTTAAGATGCAATCCTCACTAGAGTTGAAGGAATTGCGTTGTCTATTCAGTGAAAAATGATTTAGTTTTTCACTTGTAGGTAATTCCCACCGATAGTGTTTCATTCCTGTGAAGAATGTTGGGAGACCTAAGTTTGTGTAGTGATAAGACTATTTCTCACATTCAGAATACTCCCTTCTGTTGAAAAATTTCACCTTTATTTTCAGCATATCGATTTATTACTACTTGTAATGTGATAAAGTGAGTTATCTTGACAGTGAGAGTCTTGGGAGAAGAGTTGATAATACATTCGTACTCTTATGATCACTTTGAAGACGTGAGAACATTAATGTAACTTTTCAGTGATCAGATGTATGCTCGTCTTCAAATGCAATACAGACATTTGAACTGAGTCACTTTGTTGTCTTCTATTTGTTTTGTTTTGAAACATATTACCAACAATTTTCCCGCTCAATTTGCGTGTATATTGTGTGCAGTGAACATAAAGTGGTCATAATACTTTATAAGTAGTAAAAAAAAGTGTTGTTTTGATGAGCCATTCTGTAGTCTTAAATTATTAACTCAAATCAGGGCCATAATAACCAGAGACAAGCTGTGTAGGCTAAAGGCCCTAGCGAACCCAATTAAACAAAACAATATAATTTGCAAAATACCTTGCAATGACTGTGTGTTAGGTCAACTACATAGACCAAACTAGTAGATCAAGAGTAGTCAGATTATCAGAACATAAGAATTTAGCTAAGATAAGGATGGTTGACCCCCAGAAGATAAGTAATTTAGAAAAAAGCTCACCATTTGCACTTCACGCATTGAGACACAACCAAACAATAGGGTGGAACAGAGTGGAAATTCTAAAATGTAATCTAGGTAGGTGGAGAGAGAGATTGATTACTGAATCCTAGTTCATTGAGTCTACACCTGACATATGTAACAGAAATGACTCAATGCAAATACCAGAAATATGGAAGATATTATTACCACCAGTCAAATCAGAAGAGGATAATAAATAATCTCAAAATTCTATTTCAATTCAAGCACATCACAACATTCTAAGAAGTAACTTATTATGACTATAAAAACAATCGTCTTATTCCCATCTAATTGTAACTCATCAATAACACTCATTATTATTTCTGAATGTACATTATCCCATATTGATTTTTCTTCAAATATCTAGTCAATTCCACACATGTATATGAATGAAGCAAAAAGTTGTGTGAATAACTTGATATAATTATAAGCAGCAATAATTTGTGCTCAAAATGTCATCAGTTAATATTACTGTGTAACACTGTGCGATTTATCGAGATAAAATCTTACCCAAATGGAGTTATGCTCTGCCACAGTGCCCAAGTTGTATACTTATATTAGATCAGAGGTTTACCGTGTAACTAAAAGGTGTGCATGTGCGCGAAACAATTATTGACATTTCCTTCAAAATGTACTCCTGAACCCTATATAATTGCCATTCATCAATACAATGTCATGTATTTCTTGAAGGGAGAAAAAGAAGAGATATCATGAAGACGTGCTTTAGGCTAGGGAGCACAGCGTCACACGATCTACAGTCAATTAATCTTTTATTTGAAGATGCTGTACGAAGAGAAGATATCATTCGATAAATTCCCCTGAAAATCCTGTACGTTGCATTAACACTGTTCAGGATAAAGCTATTATTAATACTATTTATTCATGAATTTACTTTCGTTACAACTTCATCTTTCTTCATTCTACACTAGGGAATACTAAGTTGTGCTCGTTGAACAATTCACTTAATCCATTTAGGAGTGTAGATGACATTAATGTTAACAGTTAAAGCTGTTTCTAGTGGACTTAACTAGAGTGGAGAAATAGGTTCACTTTTCGATAGAGAGAAAAAGACCAGATATGCAGTATTAAGTGATGCTATCATTCTGTTTCACAGGTTCTCATCAGCTGCTCCGAACCACTATCTGAAATTACAATGGTTATAAATAATGACATTTCATGCTTCAATGGTTGAAAGGTAATAGAGAAAAGATTATAAGATGAACACATCCGGAATATGGCCATTACAATTTTTAGTCCAAGTCACAATCGACTTATGTGCAGAAAACAGTGAAATCAAACAAACAGTTTCACTTTGATCGTTTACATAGCAACTCAAGAAGGTTAAAGTTCATCAAACTGAAAACTATCTTAGTGAGCTGAGGTCATTAGTATGTATGACTAATTAGTGTTATCAAGGGAATAAGAGATTGACTACACTCTCTTTCTGTGTGCATAACTTTGGTCTGAAATGCTTGATTGCAATTGCTTCAACAAATCATAGTAAATTCCCTATCCTTTGTATGTTTATTATTTTAAAGGATTTGGAAATCTCGACAAAATGACCCGTATCCACAAGGTGTCTGGTAATTGCACTTTGTAAATATCGTTTTTTTCATAGTTTGTTAGCGTATAAATTGATGGTAATTGATTTGCAATGAGGAAACAGGCATAAAATGGGCTCACAAAAAGAACTTGGAGGATCTGGACTTCGCCGATGATATATGTCTGATTTCCCACAAACTGGAAGATATGCAAGTGAAAAGTAACAAGTTGGCAGAAGAAGCATCAAACATAGGACTCCAGGTGAACATAGAGAAAACGGAGGTGATGAAGATTCCTGGCCAACACCAACAGCCACAGCAACAACAACAGACAGCAATCAGCGTAAATGGAAGGAACCTGAAAGAAACAACCTCTTTTACCTACCTGGGAAGCATCATTTCAACTACAGACACACGGAACTGACGAGGATATTAAAGCAAGAATCGGGAAAGTAAGTCAAGCTTTCATTACTCTCAAGTCTATGTGGAGGTCAACAGCACTCAACATCAAAAATAAGACCCGGATTTTCAACTCCAATGTGAAGTCAGTGCTACTATACGGATCAGAGACTTGCACTGCGCGTCATAAAGAGCATCTCAAGCAAACTACAGACCTTTATTAACAGTTGTCTTCGCTCAATACTCAAGATCAGATGGCCAGAAAAGAACAGCAACAGAGATCTCTGGCAATGAGCGAACCAACCAGGAACCGATTGTGAAACAAATAGGTAGGAAGAAATGGAGATGCATTGGCTGGCCATAGTCTGAGGAAACCATCAAGTGACATCACTAGATAAGCCATTGCTCGAGTGGAACCCGAAAGGGAAGCGGCGAGTTGGTCGTCAGTGCAAGGGTGACTTGGAGGAGGTCATGTGAAGAGGAGATGAAAACGTGTGGGCAGACATGGAGCCAGGTGAAGACTCTAGCAGAGAACCGAACGCAATGGAGACGCACGGCTGAAACCCTATGTTCCTCTAGGAATTAAAGGAAACAATAATAATAATAAACTAAAAATGTTTTTTGTATATTCTTTCAAACATAGAAGTATGAAATGTCATTATTTTTAACCATTGTAATTTCAGGTAGTGGTGTGCAGCAGCTCATGAGAACCTGTGAAATAGAATGATGATACCATTTTTTACTGCAAATCTGATCTTCCTTTCTCTATCGAAATTTATCAAGGGAACCGAATGTACGAGATTCAGTTTTACTTTATGAACAATTATTTATTTTAATCAGCAGCGTAGTAAAGAAGTGAAATCGAAGAATGCGTACGTTTCAATATGTATATAAAAGACAAATTTTGAAAATCAAGCCTACATTATTCATTTCAGTGAAACTTAAGAGTTTGACTTACTGTGTCAATAATTCAATAGCCTCAGTGACGTTGTGTTTGCTTAGCACACTAGTCTCAATAAACAAAACTTGATGTAGCTAAATGAAATGAAATGGAAAGAAAAGAAAACAGTGCAGACGATTCATTGATTGAAAGTACAAAATGTGTAAAATAATCAATACTATTTTATTGATTTCCAATGACTAGTTTAATTCTATCACATTAAGGAGTACCTGAAATTGCAAATTCTAGTCTTTAAACTAAAATGTATAGTGATGATTAGAAGTTAATTGGTGGGTGGTGACTAGCAGTGGAATCCAGGATGTGTATTTCGTCTTATTTGGGACTCGTCACCTGGATGTGCCTGCATTCCTCAGTGAGTGATGATGTTCGAGCCTCAGTGAGTCCCAAATAGGACGAAATGAGCATCCTGGATTCCACTGCTAGTCACCATCCACCAAATAACCTCTGATTACATGCCCAGACATCGTTGAAGTATCTACACGAGAAGCCGACATATCAACCTGAGACCAAGCACTTCGATCCAATCAATCGACGGGAAATCTAAAATTCAATTGAACAGTGATGATTAGTCATGTAATGTGTTTGGTGTTTTGATTTACGGTTGAAACTGACAGAAAAGTGTTATACCTCACTGCGTCAATACTAATGCGTCTATCTCGTCTATTCATTATAACTTATGTCAATTGTATGTGTTAGAAAATGAAGAGGAAATTTACAGAGGAACACACTATTATTATTATTGTAATTGCATTGTTATCATCCTCTTAGGTTCCGAGTAGAACATAGGGCTCTAACAGCTCATCGCCATTTCTTTCTGTTCTCTACAGTACAGTTTAGACGGCTCCATAGTTGCCAATAAGCTCTCATTCCATTCTCACACGGTCTCCTCCATATCACCCTCAGACGCACACCCAGTTCTTCTTTTCGCATTCAGATTCCACTCAAGCAATGACCTGGCACTATGTCAGTCAACGGGCTCCTCAGAGCGTGTTAGGCATGAATTCCTCGTCTTCAATTCTTCCTAAGCACCTGATTTTCAGTATGCAGCCAGGAAAGGCAAATATTGGAAGTGCTTTTGGCAACGCGAGTGCCAAGCCTCTGGACCATGCAGAAACACTGATTTGATGTTAGTGTTATAGATCCAATTCAGCAGATTTCCGCACTGATTTCGGATTAATGAAGATCTGGTCGAACGTTTCGACCTTGTCTTTAGCATCTTCATCTGTGCCGCCTATAGTTGAAACAATATTGTGAAAGAAACGTCTCCATTCAAATTTCCCCGATGACGATGATTGGTGTTTACTGTTGTTGGCTGGTTATCTTCATCACTTCTGTTTTCTCTATCTTTTATTTTATTCCTCTACGTCCCCAGTGGAACATAGGACTTCAAGGCTAGAGGCTTGAAGTTTCAGTAGCAGTGGCACTATTTTTAATTTTAATAGGTGGAAATGCTAGACTCATGCCCAACTTTCCCTGTTTGCCAGCCCTATTACTAGCTTAGTGAGTTAGAGGAGTGAATCGGCCAGGGATCGTACCCCGGACAATATGAGGCATGATTTACGAGCATTCTACCGCTGTGTCACCAACGCGCTTTGTTTTCTCTATGCCTGTCTGAAATCCTGTCTTGTCTAACTCTTCTACCAAAGAAGTACACCACTGATTGGTGAGAATATTTGGAAATCATTCATAATAATCAGTGTTGCTTATTAGTTGGGTAAGATTATTTAACGGCAAGGACCTCCATTTCACTCACTTTTGTTTGGTCAAGTTTATCAGTTCACTGTCAAAATTGATTGGTATTAGTCCTTTCTAACTGGTTACAGGATTTCATCGTGAGCTGACATTGGTTAGAGAACCATCGGAAAACCTGGGAGTACTGGACAGCTGTTTCGTCCCACTAGTTTGGGACTCTTGATCAGCCTCTAACCAATATCAGCTCATGATGAAATCCTGTAACCGATCAATCAAATCCCTACAAACCAATACTTGAATATCAATAAGGTGCTTACTGGCGACTCGCCCTATTAAGGCAGTTAACCTGGGGTTCTAGTGGGAAGTCGTGACCAGCAGGGTGCAGCAGGTCGGGTGTGAGGACAAATACTCGCCGAAGACATTGGCTAGGGGTCGCGCTATGTCGTGAATTGGCAGAAGTTAGAATTCAAGGACGATTGGATGAAATCCCAATGGCTTAATGGTCTGCGAGCTCGCTAGCCATGTGACCAGAGTTCGAACCCTGGCGGTGGGTGCATACTGATGAAGAGTCCCAAACTAGTGGGATGAAACAGCTGTCCAGTACTCCCTGCAGGTTTTCCGATGGTTCTCTAACCAATGTCAGCTCATGATGAAATCCTGTAACTAATCAATCAAATCCCTACAAACCAATATTTGAATATCTTTTCTAACTACTTTTATATTTCAATAGCATATGCTATATACTATTATTCGGGTTGATTTATTTGATGACACTTATCGTATGATAAACTGCGAACACTGATTTTCAAGAAAAAAACACAAATCATACACCATGAATCATGCAAATAGTTGCTTTGATTTATTAATGCAAAAAAAATGCTTTATAGTATATTGTTTTGTAGATAGCTTTTACATGCCTTTCTATGCCTATTAGCTAATTTTTTATACAGCCGATTTTAAAAAATATGATGCTCAACTTCAATCAGAATGCTCACATCATAAGGTATGTGAACACACACAAAGGCAGAGAATTTGAGAAAAGGAATGTATTAACTTTGGATCGATATTTGCCGAAAGTCGGTCGTGGTTGTGCTAAAACAATTTAGAATTAAGCTGAATATTAAAAGGTTGACAGTGTAACTTCTGTCATTCTTAGTTTGTAATAAAAATTTGTGATACATGCATGCCACATATATCGATTAAGTTATTGTATTTTCTTGTTCAGTGCTTCAGTGATTCAGCGAAACAATGTTCGTCAACCACGCATGTAGTCCAGGGTTCGATCCCCGGTTGATTCACCCCTAAACATCTCTTAGCCTGTAGTAAATCTGCTTTGAGGGAAAGTTGGGTGTAAGGCTGACAAATTCACTTCGTGTAAACGAATAACAGCCTTGCCACTAAAGCTTCAAAGCTCAAGCTTGAAGTCCTGTGTTCCACTCGGAACGAAGAGGGATAAAATAAGTAGTACATAATAAATACTCTTCTCTTAAATTGGACACCAGTAACTAGTGTGATGTGTCTAGTCCTTTCTTTGGCGCAGACTGAATTCTGTCAGTCAGGTTTGCAATGTGGCCACCATGCCACTAGGTAGCTCGCTATCCTGGTTCACTTTGAATCGGCGATATTAGATGGTTGGAGGCAATCGGCAGGAAGCTTCGGATCTAGCTCAGGGGTAACGTCTCCAGGTGACGCTAGTTCGAATCTCAGAAGTGACATGAGTTCCTTCAAGTTTGCAGATACGCCTTGCAGACTGTTGAGTGCCAACTAGCACGAAACCTAGGTCAGACAAGGCTTCCTATGGCCGATCGTCTCCAACCATCTAATACTCTCCTATTTACTTTATAATTGTAACACATCAATCGATCTCCATACACGTATGTAGTCTCTTTCATTTAATGTTACAGTAGCGTGATATATGACAAAAAGGATATATATTTATATGCACTTACACTGGCTAGGTGTTTACCGGTTTCATATGAGATATAATTACGTGGTTTATTGTTGCTTTCTTGCTGAACATCATCTTTACTTTTCATATTGCGTAAGTCAATTTTATTTCCAACAAGAAGAATTGGAACTTGAACATCACTCACAGATTCCTTTATATAAATAAATAAATAAGTAAATAAATGTAATCAGTAATGTTAAAATTAAATCGGTAAATAATATTAGGAATGTTTATAACGGATAATAATTTACACTTAGAGGTATTTTCATTGGTTAGTCTTCTCAAAAAGAAGGACTAGTTGTATAGTAGGAGGTGAGCATAAAAACATGGAGGTATACCTGAAAAGACACCAACATTTTAGCATTCCATCACATTTTTTATTTTGATTACAGCTTGATTCCACACCCTATTTTTGGTACAAGTATGGAATTTTCAGCATATGATATAGATAGCCCAAATTTAGCAGACCAATCATTGATATCAGTTGTGCGTCGGCAGGAGATCGAACCCTGGACCATTTGCATAGTCGGCGGGAGTCCTAACCACTGTGCCACTGACGCACATTAATCATTTAGTGTTGTAGATTTTGAACCAAGTGAAAGGGGATGAGTCGGTGCTGCGCGTCGGTGGCACAGCGGTTAGAACTCCCGCCGACCATGCAAATGGTCCAGGGTTCGATCTCCTGCCGATGCACAATTGATATCAATGATTGGCCTGCTAAATTTGGGCTATCTATATCATATGCTGAAAATTCCATACTTGTACCAAAAATAGGGTGTGGAATCAAGCTATAATCAAAATAATAAATGACAAATAAGTCGTTAAGAGTCTCGCTTAATAGCTTAACACGTCTGCTCTGACTGCCTCTTAGTCACGAAGCTCCATGGGACTCAAAACCAACAACATTAGGAATGATGTTTTATATCACTAACTTTTAGAGGAGAATGATTTACTGAAAAAAATTTTGTTTGCACACGATAAATAACTTTGTGAGTGGACTCGGGGAATCTATTCTTGTTTAAATAACGAGACATTTGCTAAAATAATGAGCTTAAACTAAAAGAAAGAATTAGACCACTGTGTTTTTGTGATTTTTAAAAGTGTACTTTATCCTACATGGTCATCATCAGTCTATGTGAAGCTCGAAGATCAAGACTGAATTGGTTTTGCAAGTTTAAAATTTACTATAATGATAATATCATCTACTTACTCTTATTGTTTCCATCCAGTATTTAATATTTGCAAATGTTTCAGGTTGATCTACAGCGTACATTAAAATTACACCATCAATTTTTCGGAAATATGAACGGATGATACAACGATATCTGTGAAAGAATAGAAGATTAAACACTATCAGAATTTACGAAATCATTCATGTATATATACATATAGCATCAACAATCTTGAAAGGAACAACAGTGCTAAAAACACAAATTAGGACTTCTAACTCAACCTTAACAAATGTTATGAAGATACATAATAAATCACAGTAAGCAGCAGTCTCCTTCAGTGGGAGAGATCTAAAGGAAGTTACTTCTTCAACTTATCTAGGCAGCATTGTGTCGACCAAAGAAGAAATGGATGAAGATGTCGAAAGTAGGATCAGAATGGCAAAAACCACTTTCATTAATGTGAGATCAATGTGGATAGCTGTTGCACTCATTACAAGAAACAACATCCGGATTTTCAACGCAAACATAAAGTCATTGCTCCTGTATAATTCACAGACTTGACGTGCACATCACCAAAACCATTTTGAAAAGCTTTCTGCAAACTGTCATCAACAGTTGCCTTCACTGTCTCAATGCTGAATATTGGATAATCAGAGACGATTAGAAACAAGGAGTAGTGGAAACGGAAGAACCAAAAACCCATCGGCCAACAAACATGCAGAAGCAAACCGAGATGGAGTGGAAGTACGCTGACGTTATGCTCCAGACCTTCAAGTTGAAATTACATTGGAAACTACGAGATGGACATCCGATAGCGACGTGGAATAGGTGGTGTGAGGAGGAAGTGAGAGCTTAAAATCAATCATTGGGCCAGCTAAAAAGACTGTAAAGAACCGAGAGAGATGGTGATGTTCTGCTGAGGGCCTATGCTACACTCGGTCTCCAAATGAATAGTAGTAGTAATTATAATAGATAAACCTCCCCTAATTGATAATAAGTGTGAAAGAGACCAATGGTTGGGTTTGAGACTAGCAATCAACCCAGTAAAAGCACAATACCAACAGTATTAAAACTTCAGAAGTTGGACCTTGAAATTATATGCCCAACTTAACCCTAATATCTCCCTAGTTAGATTGACCTAACCCTAACCAATCCTTAGTATGAACCTAGACTTAAACTTTCTCTAGCCTTACCTGGAACTAACCAGTTATCCTGTTTAATATCATTACACTACATTCGACACTTTTTCATAAGTGTAGTCTTATTTACCTGGTTTCACTGCCCTATTCTGACTGACGGTTCAAAGGTCACTGGTGCGTCAATGCCCGTCGGGTGTGTAAGGTTAATTTATGTATATATACATATATATATATATATATATATATATATATATATAATTTTACCTTCAGTCCCGACCATTCACATAAGTAGCAATCTGCCAACATAAAGTTATAAATAGCTGGCCAGCTTCCATAGCTATAAGCTGGCAGTAATGTATTATTCATCTACGTGACGCCTGAGCGTTACCCGTGGTGACTGAAGTAAAACGATGACCTAAATCTAAGTGGCTACGGTGCTGGTTTAGTTAATCAGGGATTACCAAACAAATGCCACTGCATCCAAGATTTTCATATCAACCTACAATCACTATTTATTTAAGTATGCATGATAAGAAATGTGGAGTAAGCAACCAATCTAGTTGGCATATATATACATACATATATTTGATCTGAGGACAGCTAAGCTGGTTTCAGAGTCTAAATTTGTCTTAGGTAAATTTTGTAAAGACTTCATGGTCAGTCTAATTTAGAAAAGTTGTGAATAACCCCACCACCCTCCAATCTAAGAATTAATGAAAAACAAAACAAGTAGTTCAGCAATGAGGCTGTCTTCACGTGACTTCATTTTCGTTAACCGTACAATCACAGTTATATACTATTTTCATAGAACAAGACAGCAACGATAGAGATGAACTGGCAGTTTGTACAGTTGCCAGATTTGCATTCATATCCGTTAGCTAGTAAATAATTTTTTTTAATAAATGAGATGTGATATTGAATAGAAACACAGTGTAAGAATTTGCAGGCTCTTTCGTAGATTTATCCCAATATGTGTACAACAGACAGATTTCAGGTTTGAAATCTGATCACCAAATGACTTCATTTAAAGAATCTCTGAAAATCAGGAGTACTGGATAACTTTAATTGAATTTTAGATTTTTCCGCCGATTGATTGGATCGAAGTGCTCGGTCTCAGGTTGACATGTCTGTTGGCTTCTTGTGCAGATGCTTCGACGATGCCTGGGCATTTAATTAGAATTTAATTGGTGGATGATGACTAGTAGTGGAATCCAGGATGCACATTTCGCCCTACTTGGGACTCGTCATCTGGATGTGCCTGCATTCCCCAGTAAGTGATGGTGTTCCCACTGAGGCTCGAACATGATCACGCACTGCGGGATGCAGGCACATCCAGATGACGAGTCCCAAGTAGGGCGAAATGCACATCGTGGATTCCACTGCTAGTCATCATCCACCAATTCAGTACTGGACAACTGTTTCGCTCTGGTTTGGGACTGTTCGATCCCTAACAGGATCATGGGTGTATATTGCTGAATAGTCTCAAACTAGGATGAAATAGATGTCAAGTACCGCTGATTTTTAGTAATTCTCTGACTGAATTCCGTTTGTGATCAGACGTGGAATTGATTAAATCCCTGCAAAACAACATTTGAAAGACACCAGTCTGACGTCATTTTATAACTTCTAGTTTCATACATTTAGATACTGGCAAGTAATTTGCAGATTTGAGACATTCTGTTATCCAGTTATTTTCATTGCCTTACTCTGAGAATATAATAAAACACAACTTATCAACAACACAAGGTTAGGAATATTTTTTGGTTCTATGAAGGACTCCGGTGATATCGCATTCTGTGGGCTAAAATCTGCACTGAAGAAACAGTTTAACCTAGCAGTGAATAAATATATGTGTAAAACTTGGGCACTACGGTAGTAAGTAATGTATCTAATAAACAAACTAATATGGAACTAGCGGTGAGTGCTTTGCAACTACACCATCCAGTCCAAAGTACTCACTGTCATCTACAGTGAGAGTGAATAGCACTTAGTTCTGCTTATTATTGAAGTTGCTTATATTGGACGTGTTGTACTCATTCCTTTCTTCTTCTGAGATTAAAAACTTACGTTTCTTGTCCTGCAGTATCCCACAATTGAATAGTATAAACTGAATTATTCATTCGAATGTTTTTTGTACGGAAATCAACCCCTATAAAAATATGAAATATAAAAAGTGACAGTGAAACTTTGAAGGCTATTGATCAAATAAATCGAATGAAATTTTGAAAAAAAGTAGTGTCTCTTTACAGAATCACTTCCCCCTATTTTATAGATTTAGTTTCTTTCTTTTCATTCCTCAATATCCTGAATGGAAAATAAAGTTTCAAGCTTTTGAGGTTTCAGTAGCAGTTGCGTTGTCCTTATAAGGTAGGGTAGTTAGCCTTACACGCAAACACCCTTCTTTTCTGGGTTTACCACTGATCAGCAAAGGGGGCGAGGTTTTAAGAGTGATTCGGACGGGAGTCGAACCTAGACCTCCTGTGTAGTTGGTCAGCATTCTGCCATTAACCCAACGACACACACACAGGTAAAAGAAGATATTTTGGGATTATTTAAGATATTTATTTATTATGCAGTCATCTGTATGCAATCTAAACATAACTCAAACAAGTCTAGATTTTCGAGACCTTTTTTCTTTCACTTTTAAAAGGGAGTTACGTGTAGATAGGAAGTTATGATTATTAGTACTGTGGTTATTCAACAAGGGCAGTCATTACACTTTAAACAGGAAAACAAAATGTGTACTTTCTCAACTAGTAAAACGACAGGAAGAATATAAGTCCGGCAGGCTGCTGAAAACCCCTCTATCAATATACCGCATGTAATTCTTCTAGTTCGGTTTGTTTAAATCTACTAAAATATGACCTCCACTAGTGTTGTCTACTTTGACGAGTATTCAAAATACCTACAACCCGTTGATTCGTCGGTTTCTACTTAACATGAGAAGAAGCATTATCCTCGATGGCAGCGTATTCACAACACATGAGATGACCATTCCTGAGTGGTGGTGTCCTTGGTTTTCAAAATGTACTTTTGAACCTTTTATGATTGGCATTCATCAACAAAATGTCGTGTATTTCTCGAAGGAGATAAAGAAGAGACATCGTAATGATGGACTGGTTTGCGCTTGAAGTCAGGTAGAAAGAACTGTATCACACGATCTACTGTCAATTAACCCTTTACTTGAAGATCCTTGAGGAAGAGAAAATGTGAGGCAGTAAACTCCACTGAAAATTCTTTATATTAAACATAAACACTGTTGAGAATAAGGCTGTTACCATTACTATCACTATTATTTACACAAGTTTTCCTTTTCAGATGCAACAGTGTCAGGTAAACTTGATGTACATGACATGATCAGGAGATTTCAACACTTCATAATCCAAACTAATATATGCCACATCTAAATCTCCCTATCTAGTAATTCTTCACTCCCTGATTTATCGTGCATGATGTAAAATGTAGATGTTGTTTTGAAATGTAAGACTTTCAATTAAAAACGCTATTTACAAGATGTGTTGTAGTAGGTCTACAGTGCGATTCATTGGATAAGAAGCGTATTCTTTGTTCGCTTCACTTAAAGAGGTTTGGAATGTCATATTGGTATCACCAGCTTTCACAAAATAGGTCTAACTCATTGTCAGGTTCACCTACATGGATGTGCTTACTGAGTAGTAATCAGTGGGCAGTTTAAATCAGGTGAGATTTGCAATAGTTTATGGTGAGTTTATTTTCAACCATTCATTTGCAAGGATTTCGTTTGATTGGTTGGATGGTTTAATCATGAGCTGACATCGGTTAGAGGACCACTGGAAAACCTGGGATACTTGACACCTGCTTCGGCCTAATCTGGGAATCTTCGGTAGGTGAGGACAGTTGCTTATAGAAGAAGACATTATGAAGTGGTGGGTCCCAGTGGCTCAATAATCTACGAGATCGCTGGTCTTGTAACCAGAAGGTCCTGGGTTTGAACCCTGGTGGTGAGTGCATACTGCTGAAGAGTCCCATCTTAGCTTATTTGTTAATTCTTTCTCCTACTCATTAATAAATCACAGTATAATCAATATGAACAGGTAGAGTAACATAATGGGATGAAAATTCGCCCTTTCTTTATAGTATTCAATATCTGAATTGGATTAGAGTAGAAACTGCTGTTATTAAATTTTTGCAAATCAATAGATTTTAAATTTGCACCTATTTTTTGTTTAATTCAACTGCTGCCAATGACTGTTTTTTTTCGTATAAGTTGTTTGTTCAATAAAAATTTTAATCTTTATTTAAACAATAAATATAACGGAATTTTATTTCAGTTAAAATAAGTGATCGGGAGACACCATTCTGGACTAGTTTCTAAAGATACAATGACAAATTGTTAACGAAGGTGAATTGTCATAATTCTAACACAATGTAAGTTTGACGATGGGTAGTTGTAGGTAGTCAATAGGAAGCCTTATACTTGGGTCTCTCGAGTGATTCCACACGTCAACAAGTCATACCTGTAACCTGAACAGAATAATGTCCTCCCTGCTTGTGTTTTGAACCCGTGTCACTTATCACTGCAGTCAAAGAATTCAGCACTGAACTATTCGAGCTCACGTTTGACCTCGTGTAGGATTTTAGCGGATAAATTGATTGGTCACTAGAGAGTAAGAGATGTCATGTCACTATTCAGTAGTGGTACTCACCGCATTATATTAGTCAATTTAAGTTGAATTTCCTCACTGAGGAAAACTACTTGTTCACTAAGAAAAAACTATGGGGTATGAAGTTTAACTGATTAAAAATGCCCATTAAAATTTCCAAAAGAATTGATACTGAACAAAGAACACTCTTTTCGATAACTTCATCATGAGGCTCTGCAGTTATGTTTACATTATAGTGAATGAATGAATTAGTGTTATGAACAACATTATTGTCTTAATAACCACGAATCAATAATATCAACAGATTACAGTTCAGTAGCATCAACATAAAATAAGCTGAATGTCAGAAAAAATTACGAAAGATAATATTACAAATTCATGAGTTTATAGTCTCTACTGAACGCCGGCCAGGGCAGTAGTAGGGGCTAGACTTGTTTCTTTTGAACACAGAGCACTGGTTGTTTGAGGCGAACTGCAATAGCCTCTGCTGTTTGCAGCATGCGGTGCTTCGATGATTTTGGCAATTTATTAGGCACCCGGTAGATGATAGAGAAGGATTCTTCCACGCTGGCTTTGTGGCCGGTTTTCACCAGATGGTCTAATATCTAACTGTTAATGGTTTTCACTACACCTTTACTTAGCCAGACTGGGATATGTTCCCTAGAGAGCACGAAAAATCAAGTTCCTAGAGCAACGGCCAATATTACTCACTCCACAAGCTCAGCTGAATTTGTAGATACAATTAGAAGTGGCTAGTCTAGGTACTCAATCTTTCAGTCAAGGTAGCACCATCGGTCGTGTAGAGAATAAGACGTGTAGTTCGCCAGCATTACTATTTCTTTGAACTGATTTCCCTAATTTCTTCGTAATTATTTCACGTGGTATATCGCCCTTGAATTGCGGTCGTATATACGGATAGTGAGTAGTCCTTTTCCGCCTTCGTTTTCATGTGTTTCTTAATAAATTTGTTGGGATAACCTTTTTTGATCAAAGTATCATATACAATGCTTAATTCATCTTCAATTACTTATTCTGAGCATATAGCTCTAACTCTGTGGTCGAGGGATTTTACTAAATTTCTTTTGTACTTGAGAGGAACGAAGCTATGAAAATGTGTATATTGTGTTGTCCAAGTACTTTTTCCATGCAAATTTCTTTTTATGCTACCATCTGGTTTTCTTGTAATTAGGACATCCAGGAAGGCAATTCTGTTTTAAGATTCCTCTTCGCACATGAATTTCATAGGAGAATGTACTTCATTGAATTCAGTAATTATTGCACTCCTATCCGAATCATTATCACAAAGAATGAAGGTGTCATCCATATACCGGCAATAAGATGAGAATTTTCTGATAAGGTTGTTCAGAGGTCCGTTTTCTACTTTACTTAGAAAGAAATCTGCCAAAATGGGATCCATTGGGGAGCCCATGGGCACTCCATCCACTTACATGTAAAGCGTTTAAGCCTTCAAGTGTTGGCCTGCAGGCAATTCATTGATTTCAAGTTTGATCTCGAACTGAAATTCGTTTAGGAAACCATTCACAGGCCATTGAATCCATCTCATTGGTTAACCGGTCAACGAGCTCGCCTCGTCCCTGGAAGGTTCTTTTGGGTTCTCTCCCTGTTAGAGTCATGTGCGAGAAATGCTGAAGACTACCGTGGTAGGACGAAACGGATATCCAGTACTGCCTGATTTCCAGTGGTTCAGTTCGTGATCAAACTGTAAAACTTCGGTTTTAATATTATCAATACTAATAATTATTGTCCACACAGAATAGTAACTGGTATCAATTATTAGCAATTTGCTTAGAATACAAGCTATAATAATAATAATATCAAAGGAACATACCCAGAGTAGCTCTTAAATGTGGATAGAATACACCATCACAGAATCGATAGGAGAAACTGGATTTACCAACACCTGAATCGCCTACCATTATTACTTTGAAGATTCGTGTTGGTGTAACTGATAGAGACAATTGTTTCTGTTGTCCGTCTACTTCGTTTCCATCTTCCACATTCTCAGTGTTATTACTCTCTGGACTTGGAAATTCATTCTTGTCATAATTAAAGGCGCTAATGCTACTGACATTTTCACTTGAATAATCTGATCGTCGACATGTTGAATCATGATGTTGATGATTTTGTTGTTGTTGTTGTGGTTGTTGTTGACGATGTTGATGTTGCTGCTGTTGCTGTTGTTGGGCTGGTAGGACATCTTCTAAACTGTCAAATTCATACTGCTAAAATAGAAGAAAAGAGAGTTTATATCAATCCCACTGACTGTAGAGTATTTTCAGCCGAAGGGTTGTGTAACTGGTGGTTAGCAATCGAATAAAAATTTTTTTTCCAACATTTTATTACTACAAAGTAACACTTGAATATCAATGAGATGCTCACTAGCGACTGGACCTATTCAGGAAGGTAGTTGTCTGGGGTTTTAGTATGGAGTCGTGACCAGTAGGGTACAGCAGGTAAGGCTTGAGGACAAATACTTGCTGAATATATTGGCTAGTGCTCGTGCTATATCATGAATTGGCATGAGTTGGGATTCATTCACTGGCCATTGAATCGGTTCGCAGTGGATTAATGGTCTATGACCTCACTGGCCTTGTAACCGGAAGGTCCTGGGTTCGGAAACCCCCATGGTGAATGCGTACTGTGGAAGAGTCCCAAACCAGGACGTAGGAAACAGCTGTCTGGCAGTACTCCAGTGCTAGTCTTCCAACTGTTCTCTAACCCATATCAGTTCTTTAAATAAAGCAAGAACAACAGTGGTTTGTGCAGAATAATATGGTACCATCATATATTTCGTCGGCTTCTCATCAGCTGCTTACAGCTTAAATAAATTGTGGGGTTTACGTACAGAAAAGTTTTAACATACTTGCAAATTTTACATGTTATCAGTTGACAGAAAGTTCCACAATTAGTGAAAAGTGTTCAGAAATTTGTGCTTATATAGTTTTTACACAGGCAGTTCAAGTCAAAATAAATGTATGCATACAATGATGGTAAAGGAGTTACGTAATAAAGACGAGAGGAGAGTAAGATGATGACTAACTAATAAATTTGGTAACGATGTACTGAGTTCACGTCATAGAAACAGAAGACAAGCAATATTACAGATTATAAAGGAGAAAGAGGGGTGAGGTTAAATACAAAGATTACGTAATCAGAGTAGAGAATAAAGACATGCAGTTACCATGGCAAGGAAAGACTAATAACTACTTCTTTCTGAACACATAAATCTGGTTTGAAGCGTTTGATAGAAATTGCTTCGGCAAACTTGGGGAGAATGGAGCTTCTTTGTCTATTGATAATTTTAAAGGATTTCTCGATTTCCACCTCATGACCCGTGTTAAGAAGATGCCTGGCTATGGCACTGTTTAAAGAATTTGTTCCCTTTAGACGTAAGCTTTTTGGTACATGTTCAGAAAATCGTAGATATGCCCTTCTTTCTGTCTTTCCAATGTAACTGCTCCCGCAGATACATGTAAATTTGTATATGCAGTTGCAGTTCACATGAGAAGAATATCAGTTCATGATGAAATCCTGTAACTAAAGATAAGTATATTGTCTTGATTAGAAACCTATTAGAGCTATGCTATTAACTAGAAAATAATCTAACTGAGTATCTACCGTACATTTACTTTTTTTGTTCTCATTCTTTAGCGTTCCAAGTGGAACATGAGGCCTTCAAGCTTTAACTCTGAAGTGACAGTAGCGAGGGGTGTGGCTTTTTACGGGGTGGGGTAGCCATCCTCACGTCTAACTTTCCCTCTTTACTAGACTTACGACCATCTAAACAAGGATTAGAAGTGCGTCGTCTGGGAGTCGAACATAGACCACATGTGTTGTTGTCGACCATTCTACAAGTGAACCGGTGACGTGCACTTATTTTCCGAGATAACGTTATTGACTATCACACACCCAACCAAGGATTCAGTTGGGAGGGGGATGGATTAATTTCGAGGTGAACTTCATCACGGACTCACACAAAATCTAGAACCATTAAAAAGCTAAACATCTACATCTTACAAGCAATCTCCAGTGAACACTGCTTAATATTACTTCTTAACAAATTCTACTCAAATGTAAGAATTCTTTGAATTACAAAGTAACCTATACACGCTTATATGTTAATAAATGTTGAATATATATATTTCGTGCAAGTAAAACAATGCTTTTGAGCAGTGTGAAATAACAGCATGAATGTGAAAACCATTCGGAATAGGTACCTCACACAAACCAACACAATCAATTCACTCCATACTTTATGCGGATCAAAAGACTCTACAGCAAAAGAAGACAAAATTAACACACTGTCTACAAAATAACTTGCATGGATTGTGATAAGCAGTGTATTTGTCAGAGTAGACCTCCTCTTCAACTCCGAATTCAAGAACATACACTAGTCATTTAAAAGACACGTTATGTATGCTGTCATTTCAGTGTACGTAGAAAAACATGGACGATAATGTGATTCAGGGGAAATATAGAAATAGTAAAACTGCTAGGAAATTCCTAGAAGCCTGGTACTCAAACTAATCAGCGACTAATAGACTCATTAATGGTATAGATCAAATATTTCAACTAATATAGAATAATCCACATAGTAAAAGCAATCTAATTTCAAGTCAATAAAAACGATCAATACTAATGCAAATTAACAACCAATCAAAACAAAGGTTGCCAGGAGATACAGTACAATATTTACTTCATAATAAAGCTTGCACTGAAGATATTGTCTAGAAAGGCAATGAAAGCTCCGCGATTATATCAACCAGCTCAGAGAATGCACCCTCATCAAAATGATCCACCTGAACTACATATCTTTTCCTTTATTTCAAACGAGGAAAAATTCATCGATAAGACTATGAATCAAAAGTCAAGGCAGGCCAAAGTACCAACACTTCTGAAAAAAGGCTTATTCTTACAACTTCACTTCTTCACGGATAACATCACATCAGTGAGATATTAAAACAACACCTAAGGAATACACCGGTAAAAGGAGTATTCAGTGCTGTTAAATTATGCTGTGTCTTCAAAACCACCCCTAATTTGCGTTCGGGAGTAAAAGTCAAACTGTCTAATTTGCCTCTTTTATGTGTATGTACCAATTCGACTGCTCCTGTGGAGTCAGTTAGTTGTATAGGCCGCAGAATTAGGCGTGTTTATTATCGGATTTCCGAATATCACCCTGTGTGGTTGGTTAAGTAAAAGACAAACAAAATCCATTCATGGCGCTATTCTACCCCATCTCGTGGATACAGAACACAAGATTGATGTTAACGAGGCGGCTTTCAAAGTCATTTACTGTATACCAACTAATCTTAACTTTACCTTAAGAGTTCATCTACTACATATTGCTGAGGTTGGCTGTTGGGATCCACATTAAGAAACCTAACTTATGTATCTAAAAGAAATTGGTTGGTTCAGACAGATACTGTTCTTACATTGGCCATCAGTCAAGGTTTTAGTGATCCCTAATTTGTTGTGGAAATTCCCCTAATTTTATTTTATATTCTATTTGCAATTACATTTTTATGCTTATTATAATTTATGCATCTCTTCTTGAAGTGTAATTCCATCGACCTTACTTAATAAATCAATAATATTTAAAAAACACCAATATTGTTAATGGCGACTATTCTAGAATCTTCTATGCGTATAAACTTATATATGATTGTAGAGCCAGAAGAGGAAACTACCGGAAAGGATATTTTTTGCTCAATTTATTTATTTCTAAACATCTGAATGATTTTTTCGCGATATTAAAATAAATACTGTAAATTAGAAGTTTTTACAACCTACTTAAATCAGTGGTGAGTTTATTAGATAGATAACTGAATATATATATGCATATATTTATTGAGGGAAAGCAAAGGATACTAGTCATTTAAAAAGCTTGATACAAATAAAGCAAATAAAAAAATATATATCATTTATATTTTAATGCCTTATCAGATAAATCCATTAGTGTCAAAGATTGACAAAAATGAAAAAAAGAAAGGAGGAGACACATTTACACTAACTTTTAGAGTATGTTGTTTAACTAGTTAGTTTATCTATGTGTTTAATAGGTAAGTAAATGGAGGGCTTTTAACTTTTAACATGATTCACTACAATAAATAAATAAATACATCAAAATTTATGCTCTATATAATTTCTGTGTGTGTGTGTGTATGTATTTATTCGTGCGTTATTATGTATAATTATTGATTAATTTGACAAAATTGATTTCCCTCGAGATTTAAATTATTATTTACGCTGGCAAATACAATAAGATGAGTTAATCACATACTCATTATTGGACATAAATTAATCTCTTTTTTAATCAGTATTATTTATTTTTACATAACAATGATAATAATAATAATAATGAATAATTGAATCAGTAAAACAAAATCTATGGATTTTTTTCAAAAAGAAACACAGTATATAGTTTTAACATGTATTAATTGTGTTTCTGTTTAATCCATTGAACACTTGAACAATGCATGATTTATTCAATGTGTCAATCAATCAATATATATATGGGTAAATTGTATTTCAGTAAAATATTTGATTCAAAAATCTACATCTGAAAAGAAACCCTTAGAATAAATTCATTGAAAGTACTATAATCTTTGAAAATTCACTGTATTGTTTTCATCTGATACAGCGTTTCAGACTAATATATGGTTCATCATTTTCCTTTTTTGCATTCTTTTATGTTCCAAATGGGACATAGTGCTTCAAGATTAGGGAGTTTCACCAGTGGTGATGTTGTGTTTTTCCGGGTGGGGTTGTTAGCCTCACATCCAACTTCCTCTTTTTCCTAGGCTTAATATCAGCCAGTAAACTAGGCAAGATCTAGGAATGTGTCAAGCAGGAATCGAGCTCGAACCACGTGTTTTGAAAGACTGGCACACACTTGGTTCACAGGGTGTAACATAAATAACCTGAGGTAAATTAGAAATTTGAAGGCAATCGGCCACAGGAAGCTTTTGACTTAGGTTTCGTGCTAGATGGCACTCACCAGTCAAACCTGACTGACAGAATTCAGTCTGCACCAAAGAAAGGACTAGACACATCACACTAGTTACTACTGTCCAGTCAAAATAACCTGAGGTTAAATCAGTGTACTGCGTCGGTGGCATAGCGGTTAGGACGCTCGTCGACCAAGCACATGGTCCGGGCTTCGATCCCCAGCCGAAGCACTCCTTTACCTCACTAAGCCAGAAATAATGCTGGTAAAGAG